TTTTTTTTTTGTTGTTTATCAAGTCATTGCATCCCACTCAGCCACCTCAACAATACCCCAATACCAACAACTAGGGCGATCCTTTAAAAATGCAATTCTGCTGGGTGCCAGTAGCTCATACCGCTAATCTTAGCTACTCAGGAGGCAGGGATCAGGAGGATTGCAATTTGAACCCAGTCTGGGCAAATAGTTCACAAGACCCTATCTCGACAGCCAGGTGCCAGTGGCTCACACCTGTAATTCTAGTTACTCAGGAGGCAGAGATCAGGAGGTTCACAGTTGGAATCCAACCCAAGTAAATAGTTCATGAGACCCTATCTCAAAAAACCCTTCACAAAAATACGGCTGGTGGAGTGGCCCAAGGTGAAGGCCCTAAGTTAAGCCCCAGTACTGAAAAAAAAAAAAAAATTTCGAAAATACCCAACAGAAAAAAAGGGCTGGCGGAGTGGCTGAAGGTGTAGGGTGCCTGTCTAGCAAGCATGGAGCTCTGAGTTCAAAGCTTAGTACCAACAACAACAACAAAAAAATGCCTGAAGAAGAAAAGGCAGAATATTTATGGTGCATGACTGACTTAAAGGTGACTACAATGCTGCAGGAACCAAGAAAGGATGGGACGGGCTGCGGGGAAGGTACAGAGATCAGTGGAATAGAATTCACAGTCCAGAAACAAACTCTCAGGTTTATGATCAGTCGTTTCTAGAGAAGAGAGCCAAGATAAATCAATGGGGGAAAGAACAGTTTTTCAGCAAAGGTAACCCTGTGATGTGGCAAATTCATATTACTGTAAATATCCAATAGTCCTGGCATTACTGCCATCTCAGCAGGATGGCTCTTCTAGCGGGCACTGCAGCTTTAACACAGAGTCACTGCTCAGTAAAAAACCTTTTTGTTTGCTTTTTGGTAAACTTTCTGTGAATGGGAGAATGAATGCATATTTCTTGCAGCATGCAGCAACCTCTGTTAGGACTCAGTTGGGTTCATCTTTGTATTCTCAATGCCTGGCACAGTGCCGGCCCCACAGTAGGGACTCACAAAAATATATTGAACCTCTATTGTGTATCATCCCCTGTGCTACACACCATACACCCAAGGATGAATAGGACCCTTTCCATCAAGCCACGCAAAATCCAATGGAGACAACTAATTGATGGGTCATTTTAATATAGCGTGAGCCCTAGCATGCAAAGAATTCCTAAAAATTATTAAAGGACCAACATCTCAATAGAGGTTAAAAAAAAAAGTGAGCAAAAGTAATAATTGGGAAATTCTCCAGAAACTGAAAACAGACGGGAGTGTTGCTTAGTGGTTGAGAGCTTAATTAGAACTTCATTTCTACTAACACTCCTGTGGTCCTCTGTCCCCACACCTGGATTGAAAGCAGGAGCCCAGACTTTAAGAGGTTGGAAGTTAAGTGTGGACAGAGGGAGGGACTCAGGGCAGCCCCTACTGGAGGCCTTGTCCAGGATGAAGGGCAGGGCACACAGAAGCCACACTGAAGGTGTGATTGTCTGATTTTGTCAGTTTCCTTCCCCACTTAGGGTCCTCAGGCAGGAGGGGAGTAAGGCCCTGTGGGAACCTACTTCAGCAACTTTATAAACCTTTCTGGGCCTCATTTACCCATCTGGAAAATGGGACTGATGTGTATAATAGGATGAAGTATGATACTTGAGGCCAATGAGGATCTGCCTTGTGGTGGTGGCCTTTGGTTGTTGTTTTTCTTTTTTTGTACTGGGGCTTGAACTCAGGGCCCACACCTTGAGCCACTCCACCAGCCTTTTTTTTTTTGTGATGGATTTTTTTCGAGATAGAGTCTCAAAAACTATTTGCCTGGGGCTGGCTTTGAACCTCAATCCTCTTGATCTCTGCCTCCTAAGTAGATGAGATTACAAGTGTGAGCCACTGGTGCCTGGCTGGTCTTTGGTTTAACAGGTAGAAACACAGAGGCCTTGGGGAGACTGGCCAGGTCCAGTCTGAAGGCAGTGAAAAGGCAGAGAGCCTCAGCCATGCTATTTGCTTCTTTTCACTCTCTCCCTTGGGCTATCTTTCCTGTCTGTTACACTTGTTCAGTCAACAAACACTGGATGTCTGTCATGTGCCAGGTTGCACAATGTGGGTATTGTACAACTGACAACAGAAACAGACATTGAACAAGCTAGATCCCTGTCATCACTGAACAATCCTTTAGCACTCACATTACAGCTTCTTCACTTCCTGGCCAGGACACTGCTAAATTCCCTAACGTCCAGCAGGGAAGCTGACAGAGGCATTGGCTCAACAGGTGACTTCAGTGGTTTTACTTTGAATATAATCTGCATATGGAGGTAATTCCTCCCCCTTGTCGGGGTACACAGGACCCCAGTTCTGAGGCAACCGGGTGACAACTTGGTTGCGTCAGACAGAGGGTGCGCACACTTGCAGATACATACACATACAAGGCAGGATAGCGCAGCCTGTTCTTTGTCCTTTCATTTTTTCACCTAAGGTATCTTGGAAGTCGTTCCATATCAGTGTCATTTTACGTTTTCCTATCTATCTATCTATCATCTATTTTTTTTTTTCCTTTTGGTGGGACTAGGGTTTGAACTCAGGACTTCACACTTGAAAGCAGGCACTCTATCGCTTGAGCCACACCTCCAGCCCGAGCTCGGGACTCCTCTAACAGGTCTTCCAGCACTTGCTCCCGACTTCGGGGCAGCCACCGTCTGTAAACCAAATAGTCTCATTGGCTTTGGTCACTTTGCCCCTTAGCGTATCCTTAAAGGTTCAAGCTGTCTCTCTCTCCCTTTAAGAAGGCGGAGCCACGGCTTCTTTACTCCCGCCCAGAAGAAGCTGTACGCAGGCGCGCAGCAGAGAGTCACGTGACGCCTCGACGCGCTCCCTTTAAAAACATGGCGAGGTCTTGGCCGCCGCGTTCGCGCGGGTCGTGACGTCACTTCCGGGGCGGAGGAGGCTGAGTGGTGCAGTGAGGGACAAACAAAAGGAGGCGCCTGAGGAGCGCAGCGTCCGGCGGCGGGACGGGGCGGCCAAAGGCTGGGGCTGCCTGCTGGGCGGCCGGGCGAGGCAGGCCCAGGTGAGTGGGTCGGGTGGGGACAGGGGCGAGAACTGTCATCTCACGAAACCCACTGAGACGCGCCCCGCCAGCTGCCCGGACCCACAAGTTCAGGGCGTCCCGGGCTCTGCTCGCTGGCACCGTCCACCTGGGCCCTCCACGGCCACTCAGTTCGGCTACCTCTGAGCTCCCGCAGGCGCCGGGACTCGGGGCCCCACCCTCTCGCGGGTGCCGCGGCGCGCGAGCCCCCTGCCAGCACCCCCGTGCCTCCCGTGCTCCTCTTATCCGGAGTTTCCGCCTGGTTCCCGGAGGCCTCTTGTCATCGTCCAGGTCCCCTCGGATTGGCGCCCTTCCGCACACACTCCCCCTTCCTACAGGTTCCTCCGCCGAGTCCCCTCCTTGCCAGCTTTTTTTTCTTCTTTCAAAGATTTCCCCAGTTACCTTCTCTAGGATTGCCGGAGCCCCATCCCTTGATCAGAGGGGACAGTGTCCAGTCTTGAGGACAGGATCCTTGGCTAGGTCCTTGGGACTTGTTTGGGCTGAGGTTCCCGGGATGAACGGTTCGGGGCGTGAGGCCTCAGTCCCTTTCTCTGTCCTGTGCATTCTGCCGGCCAGAGTGCCAGGTCTAGTGGTGAGGTCCTGGTCTAGCCCAGACACAGGTGAGCTGGAGTTCCAGCAAAGATGTTCTCAGGCTGAAGGAACACAGCTTGAGGTTCATAGGATTCTTGATTCTGCTGCTTAGTTGACCGACTCTTGCCCTTAGTTTAACTGGAGTGAACCTAGATCGGCTGGTCTTCCGCTGATGCAATTGTTTGCCTTTTTTGGGAAGGAGACATGGGTTGGGGATTGTGTGTTAGCCTCGTCTTGATGGGGCCTGGGCTGACAGGGTGGGTGTGTCCTGGGAGAGCCCCACTCCCACTGCCTGCTTCCCCTGCCCTAGCTCAAATGCCTGTGCAGGGACAGTTGGGGAGGACAGGAATTGGAGGCTACCTGATGCAGGATGGGATTGAAGAAGCCGAAAGTTCCAAGAACCTCTGCCACCTTTAACTCGTGAGAAACTGCATTCTGCCCTCTGGAGCAGACTGACTGGCAGACAAACAGACACTGAAGAAAGGGGAGGAGGCAGGCAGTTGGTGATAGTTCCTGTGCCAGGGAAGGGGAGTGGGAGAGTGTTCAGAGGCCCTGGGGTGCCAGAGGCTCAATCACACTGGGGTTGCCTAGGTTAAGGTCACATTCTCCTGTGACTGTGGAGGGGAGGCAAGGACAAGTGACTTGTGTTGGAAGACTGGTTGTTTAGATTCTAGGGGTGATGGCTCCCCTGCCTCCCTAAAATTCTGGTCTTAGAGCTGCTTTGGGGTGTGTCTGATGTCCCTCTGCCTCCCAGGGATACAGAGTAGGGACCTGAGTAATGTTTGTAACTTCTCCTCAGTACTCCACTGATTGTGTTTGTTCTCTGTGCCTTAGGCACACTCACTAGGAAGCGGTTTTTCTGGAGAGTAGGGGTGCCTGAAGATGGACCCCGTGGTTCAGGACTTGGCAGGTAGCTGGGTTTAGGCTGCTGCTTGGCAGGGCCTGGACCTTGCCTAGAGGAGCTAGAGGGAAGGAATTAGCCTGTTCTTGTCCTTCTCCTGAGAGTGGAGATGATCTCAGGTTTTCGTGTGGGGATACTAGTGTGCAGAGACTTCATGGGAACTCAGGTGGGATGGGTGTAGAGCCATGGAAATGAGTTCACCTTTTCTCTCTCTGGACTCATTTATTCAACTGTATGGTAGTACTTGCCTGCCCTGGGCTGGGACTCATGCTAGGAAAACATGTTCCCTGTCCCCTTTGTTGCAGTGTGGAGGAGAAAGACAGCAAGACACTTGATCTGTGACCGCTAGCCAGCGTGATTATAGAAATGATAGTGAGGCAGCCCAGAGGAAGGAGCTCTGGGCAAGTATGCAGGGCAGCTCAGGAACACTTCCCAGAAGAGGGGGACTAGAAGAATCGGAGTCCTGCCTCACAGTTGTGGTCCTGGTTCTGTCATGGGCAAGTGACTGCCCTGCAGCATAGCCTCAGGGGTGTGTCCCCATCCTTGCTGAGAATGGGTGGGGCACAGGTGGCCTGGATGACCTCTGCACTTTTCCAGCTCTAGGTGCTTCATTACCTGTCTGTATTCACCTCTGAGGGATTACTGGGTCAGTGCCATCTCCCTGTGGCCGTGGAGCCAAGCTTCTCCATTTGTTCTCCCAGCGCCGTGCAGGTGTCATAAGTGCTCTGTGGTGTGAGTGATGGAAGGCTCCCCAGTCCCTCCTAGATCTGTTCAGGTCCCATTGTCTGCTACCCCCTTCTTGGCTGACTCTCGCTAGTACTCTGGCCTTCCCCAGTGGCTGTGCCACACTCCCCTGAGCTTACAACAGTACACACACTTCTCCCATTCTCTGCACCTGGTCTTGTGTATCCGTGAATAGTTCAGAGCAGAGCACCCAGTGTGTGGCTGATGCTCACTGTGCACTTGTTGACTGAGTTCAGTTTGTGTTTGAATGGAAGACTGCCTGCTCAGCTCACGCTGTTGCTCCTTTCTTGCTTGTTCCCTATTCCAGAACTACATCTGGCTAGGGAGGAACCTGTAAAATTCTCTAGATGGCCCCTTGCAGGCAAACGTGTGCTCTGCCTTTGGTCTGCATCCCTCTCTTCCCACTCCTCTCAGCCCAGGAGTCACCAGCCACCTCCCCCAAGAAATCTGCTCATAGCTCTGGTTTGAGTGTAGTGCTGGTCCAGGATCCCAGCAGTGCCCTAGGACTCCAGATTGGCATAGCTGCCTTAAGGACTCCTCAGGAGATCAGGGTCTGTGGGGGAAGCACCCTGTCCAAGTAGGTCTGGACACCCCAGATCCCAGACCTTGACACTACCAGGTTGTCCCCAAACGTTGGCAGCATGTAGGTATCTCTGAGAATTGCACACGTACCTGTTGACAGCAGCTCTCCCTTCCTCCTAGGGCGGCAGTGTCCATGGAGCAAAAGGAATGCCGGGACTCCACACAGACAGACGGGGACCAGCCTCAGCACCCACAGCCAACGTACAGATAGCAGAGCCGCCTCAGGGTAAGGCCCATGCCAGCCTTGCTCAGCTCTCTCACCCAGGAAGGAGTAAAGGCCAGCAATTCTTGTCTTCACAGTCCTTTGGCTCTTCACTGTAGGCCTCGGGGATCTGGGACCTGGGGCAGAAACCAGAGTTAGTCTCTGACATGTTGAGCAGCTGAGTGGTGTCTGCCTGCTGTGCCCTTTGAATTCAGTGTTGTTGATTGAACCTCTTTTTTGTTTCCCTTCTCCCATATCTTTGTGGGTGGCAGGATACTTTTCCCAAGGTATGTTCTGTGGGACGCCATTCTCCTTGGTCCCAGTGGTTAGATGATTCTGGGAAACAACAACTTATGTGTGCTGCAGTACTTCTCAGAGCCTTGAATGCATTGAGCCAGGCGAGGTAAGTGTGATAGGGAGAGCTAATAAGACATGTTTCCCCACACTTACTTGATCATGTAGACATCTGTGGGGTGGGGGTTCTTTGTCTTGAACTTGGAAAAAGGTTTCCAGATGTGCTCTGTGAGTGACTCTGGGACAGTCATTGTACCTATGTGAGCCTCAGATTCCTCATCTTTAAAAGGGGAGAACTAAGCGGAGCACCAGTGACTCACGCCTGTATTCCTAGCTACTCAGGAGGCAGAGATCAGGAGGATTGTGGTTTGAAGCCAGCCCAGGCAAATAGTTCATGTGACCCCCATCTCAAAAAAACCCTTCACAAAAAAAGGGCTGGTGGAGTGGCTCAAGGTGTAGGCCCTGAGTTGGAGCTCCAGTACCACAAAAAAAAAAATTTAAAAAAAGGGAAGACTGAAGCAGGGTGTGGTGGCACATGTCTATAATCCCAGCACTCAGGAGGCTGAAGATTGGGAAAATAGCTCATTGCAGAACACTTGCCTAGCATGGGCAAGCCCTGGCTACAGTCCTTAGCACCACCATGATTAAAAGGGGGCTGAGGATGTAGTTCAGTGGCAGAGCACTTGCCCTGCATTTGCAAGATCCTGAATTTGATCTTGGATTTGCAAAAATAAGAAAAAAGAAAAGAGGGGAGTGGGGTCATATTTTTGTCCACTTCCCTTTAGCAGGTTTTAAGGGTTAAATATGCTGGCATAGAAAGACATATTAGCAGAGTATGTGCCTCAGAAAGAGCTCCTGCTCAGAGGCACCTGTGCATAGACTGACATAATTTGCAAAGCCATCCACATCACTGATCCCATGTGGACAAGCAGTGAGAGCCGTGGAGGCCGAGGTTCAGAGTGAACAACAATGTGCACAGACTTCTTGGAAAGGAAGGCAAGGTCGTGAATTTGAACCTGGATCCTGCAGTCCTGGGCCAGGTCATTTATTCTTGCCTGAGTCCTGTCTGCCTCCACCTACCCCACCAGTCTTCCTAATGGAAGGCAGGAGCTTCCCTAGACTGAATTTTAAGAGATATAGTAATTTTGGGACTTTTTTTCCTACCCTCACACTTTTATTTATTTATTTTATTTTATCACTTTTACATTTACTCACATGTGTATACATTGTTTGGGCCACGACTACCCCCACCCCACCCTGGGACTTTTTTCCTTAGTTGCCAAGCAAGCAAATTGGAAGTTCATTATTTTCATACCTTTGAATTTTTCTTTTTTTTGCATCACTGGAGTTTGAACTCAGGGCTTACATCTTGAGGCTTACATCTTACTATTTTGTATTGGATTATTTTTGAGATAGGGTCTCATGAACTATTTGCCCAGGCTAGCTTCGAATCATGATCCTCCTGATCTCTGCCTCCTGAGTAGCTAGGATTAGAGGCGTGAGCCACTGGCGCTCAGCTTAGAACTGGAGTTTGAATTCCAGGCTTTGCACTTGCAAAGCAGGCGCTCTACTGCTTGAGCCACACCTCCAGTTCATTTTACTCTGGTTATTTTAGAGGTGGGGTCTTGAGAACTATTTTCCCAATCTGGTCTTGAACTGAGATCCAGTCTCAGCCTCCCAAGTAGCTAGGATTACAGGTGTGAGCAGCCAGTGCCTAATTGAATTCTGAATGTGGTAGGGAAAAGGAAAGTCTCCTCTGGCCCCCATATTCAGAGATGGGAACAGGGAGAATAACTTTCCCCATCTATTACTACCGTGCACTGATTTTCACAAAAATCAGGTCATGTTCTGATGGGCTGCCAATTCGTAGCTGGGTTTTATTTTGTGGAATGGCCACGCCTACGCCTGGACTCTTTTTCTGGACCCGAGGCAGACAGACCTGGTGAGGCATGTTCTCAAGCTAGCCTTCCCCTGGCTCTCCCCTGCTGTGCCAGGCATTTCTGATGGCTGGCATTCACAGCAGCAGAGGGGGTGGAAAGTGCCTGGTATGTGATGCTGTTCACACTTCTGTTTATTGGGATAAGGTCAGCACTCTGGGGCCCTGCCCTGTGGGAACTTCCTGTTGGTTTTGAGGAATTCAGTCCTGTCTTGTTGGGCAGCGATGAGCAGGAAGCAGCAAGTACTGCTCTTGTAAAAGGGGAATTCCTCCTCTGTGTCAGGGATAGCTGTGTGGATGGCCTGAGAAGTTGGACCTGCAGTTTTGGTTTCTGCTGTCTGCCTAAGGTGGCTCAGATTAAGGGCTGGGTGTACACACACCAGAAGAGGGGCATCTGGGTCATTTCCTGGACCTTTTAAGAAAAGGCTGGCCCTGTCCCAGTTTACCCTTGCATTGCCTAAAGGAAGTTTTGGTCCTGATCCTTTTAGAATGCTCCTTTTAGGCATAAGTCTCAAGGTTAAGTAGATAAGGAGTAGGGAAGGCCACCATAGCACCTGGGTGTAAAAATGTTCTGTTGGAGCATAGCTGGCCATGGGATGGATTTGGTAAGAGCATTCAGGCCTGGCAGCCTCAGATCTGTGGAGCCAGGTAGATGTTGGGCTGGATCAGGCTGGGAATGGGGGTCTTTCCCCAGGCTCTTCAAGCCTGCTTCAGCTGGCTGTTTTCCCACCTCCCGGTGCCTTCCTCTCCCTCTTCCCCAGCAGTCCCTTTGCCTCTCCAGGAGACATTGCTTGGCAGAGAGCCCCACGAGTAGACGATGCTGGCTTCTCCAACTTCATCTTCCCCACAGCAGCCCATGCTTGTCCTCAGTGCCACCTCTTGAGTGCTCGGTGACATGGCAGGTCACTGCATGCACTTACCCTTGCCTCAGCCTTATGTGTGATGTCCTTTTACTACTGGGCAGAGGAGGATGAGATCTCTTGCTCAAAGTCTTATAACTTGTAAGTGGCGAAGCCAGAACTCAAGCTGAGATCTGCATGGCTTTTCAGCTTGACCTCATTCTACTCCCTTCTCTGTTGCTTCTTTTCCTCTCCATCCTCAGGCCTTTGAGGGTGCTTTCAGAGTTACCCAGGGACTTTATTTAAAATGCTGTGCCTCTGGCTCACTACTGGAGTCAGCTCTGCAGGGCTGAGCCCAGGAATTGCACTCTGTAGAAGCTCCTCTGGCATGGTCAAACTGGTGGTCTGCAGACCACACTGTGGACCCTGGCCAGAGATCTCTCTTCCAGCCCTGACCCCTTTGCTGAATGAGGCCTTCTGCTGCCTTCACCCATGCCCTTGGGGAAGAGGGCTGAGCCCCTCCTAGGACCAGGATGTTTGCTTTTTAGTAACTTTCTTTGTGTGTGCGTGCGTGCATGTGCATGTGTGTATGTAGGGGACAGGGGTCTTCACCTTCACCTTCCTTTATGGAAGGTGTGTAGGAATGAGGTTTCTGAAGGATTTTTACTCTGACTCATAAACATTCGTGTTTCTATTGCATCTCTCGTCTCTCAGCAAGTTCTTCTATATCTATCTAATGTTTCTTGAGGGCTTAAAACCACAGAATTAAACTGCCTGCAGCAATATAGCCTCACGCCTGGAGTGATGTCCTGCTGGAGTAAAATTCCACAGCTTTTGCATAGCACCTTGGCACCTCAAACACAGCTGCCAAACTGGCACTCTGATAGTCAGATGACCAGCATGCTGTGGGGGGAAGGGTGAGGGGGGCAGGGCAGGCAGAATCTTGGCCTTTATGGGCACCTTTCTTCTTCCAGCTGGTTCCTTGGGTCTGAGTCCCTGCAGGTGTCCACCCCATCCTTGAGGGTGGGACAGCAGGCCGCTTAGCCTCAGCCAGGTCCCCTCAGTCCTTCCCCTTGTCTACTGGGGACTGGCTGGTGCCCAGTCCTCCTGGGACTTCAGCAGAAGATGTCTGCAGCCCTCCAGGGTGCTTATGTCCACTGTCCTAACCAGTCTAGGAAGGCAGGGCAGTTGTTCATAGCAGATCATGACCTGTCTTGAAGACTTCTGCCCCAGAGTCTCAGACTCACAGCTGGCTCCCTTCCAAAGTTTCCTTAACCCCTGGAAGACCAGAGGCATCTGAGTATAGTATCTGAGTATTGCTAGGGGCCCTGCAATGCCCCTGTTTGAGTGCATCACTCAGGAAAAGGGGTCTCTTCCTAAAAAGCATCTCCAAGGCCATACCGGCCCAGTAGGCCCAGGAGACCTGCTTGCCTTGGAAGCAGCTTGGCATGATGGCAAGTCGGCTCTTGGGTGGATCTTACCACCGCCTTCTAGCTGCGCAGCTTGGGTAGGTCACTTCACTCCTCTGGGCCTCAAACTTCATGTTGTAAAAGGACCAATGAGCCTTCTATAATAACAGCAGCAATGCATCGGGGCACTGTGGCATGTCTGTGGTCCCAGCTACTTGAGAGGCTGAGGTGGGAGGATTGCTTAAACTCAGGAGTGCAGGGTCTGCCTGGGTAACATAGCAGAACTCTATCTTAAAGAAACTAAGTAATAAGAGCAGCAAACATTAGAGTCTTATTGCATGTTAGACATGGTGCAAAAGTTCTGTGGAGACCACCACTCTCCAAGGAATAGGTGCATTTCACATGAGGAAACCAGAGCCCTGCAAGGTGAAGTGACTTTCTAGATCACATTGGTGAGGTTGGTCTGTATGAGGCACAGTAGGTGCTTGGCACAGGACGAGGGAAGGCCCTAGCCTAAGCCCAACCTGCTGCCCTGTGTACTGGGCT